AGTAGCCTCAGCAATGTCTTAAAGTTAAGAGAGTGATGGTCCGTACTCCTAAACTACACCTCGAAGCGAAAGCAGAAGACAGATGGTGACCTAGGTGGCTGAAAATCAGTTCTTCAGACAAGACACCTTAGTAATCTTGAGGACAGCAAGATGTCCCCTTTGTGGATATTTAATATAAGTATTCATTTCCGTACAAGACCCGAAGAATCCGTTTTAACAGCTTCGTCTATAAAAAAAGACCTATAGGTCTATAGACCATGGAATATACTGATCTACTCCAAGTTCGCAGTTAATTTCTCAGGAAATTAAAAAACAACAATTTCTAAATTTGAGTATCAATCGGAAAACGGACAGAGAATGCCGGGGAACCCACTGATGAGCCGAATCCCTCGCAGCTGTGACATGCAGCGACAGAATATCGAAGAAACACGCGTGTAGGGGTTTTTAGCTAGTACCAATGCTGCAGGTATGGTATCCTCTTAACCTAAAACAAGACACTTAAGTCATTTTGATGACAACCAGGAGTCCTCTTTCTGGGTTAGATTCGAAGCAGAATGATATTTAATCTAATCTACTATAGTGAAACACAGCGAACTGCTGGACGTTCATATAAAAGTGATACCGACAATCATTTGAGTAAGCTGGACACTGGACATCAATGAATACGTCAGGCCGCAGACATTTAGAACTGACTGTGAATGTTACGATTGCAAAAATGGGTCGACGTCCGCAGCAGTCTTTTTGCGAATAATGCAGGTCTTCGCAAATTCCGAAGACATGCAATCACATCTCTCAAAGGTCACTCAAAGGGCTGCGAATAAGCATAATGGAGCCCAGCGGATTGGTATTACCTGCAAAAAAGGGAGACCGGGGTGGCCGTTTCTGACTTATCGCTCGTCGTCAGTCAGTCAGACTCAAACCCGAAGTGTTGAACATCTGAGGCTCGATCCCGCCACCTGTTAGTTAGAAGTCAACGCTTCTAACGATTGGGCCACGGGCTTGTTGTCCTATCGGTTGCGATGGGGAATATACAATGCTAAGGAGGGGGGGGGGGCGCTCGCCGATCATTTTTACAGAATTCATGCGTCCCGTTGTGCCGTCGCGGGACCGAGTCCCAGGTGTTCCACACTTCGGGATTGGGTATGACTGGCTGACGACAGTGAATAAGCCAGAAATGGCCATTCCAGTCTCCCTTATCTCTGTCGGTGATACCATTCCGCCTATAACATGCACCGCTGTAAGGCTGCTGGTTGGGCTCTCGAGAGAGAGAGAGAGAGAGAGAGAGAGAGAGAGGGATGCAAAAGGCCCTAAGGCACAAGAGGGACGAATGAGTTGCGTAAAAACGATCGGTGAGTGCCCCACTATCAGAAAGGAAACTTTTTTGCTAAGTACTGCCAAAATGTACAGTTCTTTACGGGGTATGCAGACCATAACTTAAGTAGGCACCGTGTGCTTTCTGATAGATAGTCCAATTTCAGCAATTCTGTTTCTTAATCTCGTCAGAAATTAATGCCCCAAGTTGGAGCATTAACTTCGAGTAAATCTCTTGTCAGGAAACGTTTTAGACCCAGGTCAGAAGTTGATATACATACACATTTGGACGAAATCCATCAGCGTCAACGGGGTAACCACATGACATTTACAAACTGCTGACAAACATCTTAAATATTCATAGTGGCTGTCGAACCAAACTCATAGGATTTCATTCCGATTGTGCGGTTCCATTTCCGAGGAAATTAAAATGCTTAAATTTCAAAACCGGAGTATCTACCAGAAAGTGCACGGTGAACGCTGGGGGAAACCACTGATGAGCCGAACCTCTAGCAGGCGTGCCCCACAACGGCAGAAAATCGAGGAAACACGTGTCTGGGCTTTAAGCCGGCACATGTGCTGTCAGTTTGGTGAATTATACGCTATTTTCATACTACTGTTTGGCTGCTGAGAGCATGGCAAATAAATTGGCATTTAACGAATTCCAATTCACAGACACCTTTTAGGCAATAAAGGCGCATTCTGCCACTATGCAGAAGAGCCTACGTGCTAGCCATGCCCACAAACCCATGTTCAAGGTCAAGTGTAGGCGGTGGAGGTGGCGGCTGCGGCTTTTCAAGGTCACACATTATTGAATGCTACTTTTAGTGTCAGCTAATTCATGAGTGGGTGGAGGCTGAGTTCAAACTGCAGGTGCAATGATACTGGTATTCACAAGTCCATGATCATGGGAAGTGGTGGTAAGCACAGTTTGACGCGGTCAGTTTCCCAACGTTGTTGCAACCAGAAAACAAACAGTTAGAATGAGCCATGCGGGTTAACCGGGAGGAAGCATGCTGCCAGATGAGGTCTACGCGGGTTATTATGATGCAAGGTCCTGGTCGCCTGCAGAAAGATAATTTTGAGAAAGCGTGGTAGCATATCAGGTCTTATACTATTGGGGTTGGAGCGATGTCATTCGGCATGGATAATTGTCTTGGTGGCTGCAAAGCTAGATCGGTGACCCGTTTTTGAAGTTCTGGCAGCCAGTAATGATAATTCTTCACAGACGGCTCAGAGTCACGTATGCGTGATCTGAGGATGCGTTCATTCTGACCTGCATAATCACATGGGGAGTTTGGGCAGAGGAATATTCCCACCGCAGGCTCCATAGCAGGGTGTGGACAGGGACAGTGACTTGCGCATGAATTCATTTATAGCAATAGTAGACATTTCTGCGTCTACCGCACTTTCCGCCTCACTCGCCTGGACCAGACGTCAAAACAGAGTCAAGAAGACCGCAGGCGGCAGAGGATGTAGGTGGCTGACACTGCGAAATCTTCCACTCAGGCGTACCACCACACCCTCGTCTAGAGCCTTCAGTGGGTGGACTAACTCATGAAATTTCAACCGGAATTCCGAAATGCGTTTTCGTTCCGAAAAGATCAATTAAGTAGGGTTGTGAAATTAATCATCGTGCAGCATAATTCTATAATGATCCAATCACCATAGGGTGTCGGCATTCAAATGAACTTATTTCCGACTGCATGCAAGAACTATGCTCAGCAAAAATGACTGCTTAAGTAGTAGGCAATTTTCGCATCGATTTTACATGCCCTTGATTATTCGATTATGTTTCATGGGAAGGAAGGGTATTATTCGGTTTTAAAAAAGTGTCTAATTGTTGGACTTTTAAGAACCGTGAAATGGCCGTTCATAAATCATCATTTCTCTGCATTTACTAATATGGTTTGTGAAGTTACCAATATGGATGAAATCCACTGCTTAATTTTATGAACCCTATATGGTCCCCCTTTATTGCCGCAGAGAAATGTGTGATTTCCGTACGCGGAAAATGTACGGCTTGTAGTTTGGAAATCCTGAATCCAAGTCTAACGGTAGAGCGTGTTCACAATTACTCAGGAATTGGAAAAGTTTTTTTAAAATCGAATTATACACTTCTTTTGAGTATGAAATTGGAAGGAGACGTGATTTTCTACAGAATGAGCAAGAGAATGAATATTTTATGCATGTTTTCCATGAAATATAATTGGACTTTTAGGAACATCAAAATCATTGAGAAAAATTCATGCTACATAAGTAGTCATTTTTTACATAATGCAGTTCCTGCATGCAGCCTGCAGGAAGTTTTTTCGAAAGCCGGGATCCTGAGTTAACTGAATTAGTATAGAATAATGTTGCTGGCTCATTAGTTTTACAACCCCACTTAATTAATCTTTTCGAGACGAAAACGCATTTCGGAATTTCGGTTGACATTTCATGAATTAGCCCAGCTACTGTATACTGAGCAGGATTTTACGAAACAAGAAAAGTTGGGCGACTTGGATACCAACTGGCGCGGCGCGGGTCATCACTTGTGCGTGCCGCCACACCCCATTTGTCATTGGTGCGCCAACCCAATAGCGTCTGTCGAGTGCGCATTCAGGTGACGCCTGCCAGAATCCGATCCAGTCCCCCCCCCCGCCGTGTGTTGGTTCAGCGCCTCTACCGCGTGGCCCGCATAAGGCGCAAACGACACGATACACTGTACTAGACTGCCGTCTTGAATTCAATTGATCCTTGATTTCCACACGACTCTGCCCCTCCTCCTCCCCCTAGCCGGCAAGCAATTCCAACGCCTTGTCCCGTGCACGATCACCTTCAAAACACCTTGAATTTAGCACGCAAAGCACGTCATATGGGTGAGTTCTGCTCGAAAAATGGAACGTAAAGTGCTTTTTGAGCAAGCAGACACCAAAGTTAAACCAATTCAGGGGGATTTAATGTGTAAAAAATCAAAACGAAGGCATCTTTACATTTTTTTGAAAAGAATCTACCACGAAGCCTTAATCAGAGCCACATGAAAAGCTCCTTAAATGTTGGATAAATGAACAGAGGCATTCGCCGACAGACACCATAAATGACTGCCTATGATGAGAACAACGGAGAAGCCAAACCCGGAAAATTCAGTCGGTCCTACGCCAAATGCCGTTGTGCTTCCTGAGAGCCTGTGAAATGCATTGCGTTGGTTGAAGTCAATAAGTTTCTGCGCTCAATAAGAGATGAAACCTTAGATAGCAGTCGGGTATATTAGCATTAAGGAGGAAGTGATGTGTGTCGTCTAGGCGATCGTGTTCGGTGCAGGTAGTCATACCGCATTCACTGAAATGGAGAGAGGATGTCGACTGAATCGTATAGAGGGCAAAATAGATTAGCAGCGAATGTTTTTCTAAACTTGAGAGTAAAAACGCATCATCGCCCATTTATGGGTTGCTGTATAGTTGTTGGTTCGTTCAATTCACAACTCCCTGATAGGATGCTTACACAGCGCTGCCTTGGAGGAATATTTACAGGCACATCCTCCGACGAAGAGAATAAATACTCGAGGACTATTAATGCCAGTCGAACGAAACGGAACAGATTAGCCAGGCGACGTCAGTTTGAGCTGGACGGCTAATCAGGGTTGTGTAAACGTTTCCAGGCGTTTTCTAGTATAACCAAGCAAAACGCGATGCATCACTACAATACTCCTACTCCTCCTCCTCCTCCTCCTCCTCCTCCTCCTCCTCCTCTTCCTCCTCCTCCACTTTCTTCCTCCAAGGAGAGCGGAGTTGGAAAGTTCGAAATGGGCATATAGATATATAAGGCGGTATATATAAGTTTGCAGGAGCCACAGAAATGGACATGACGACCACCACGTGTAGGTGTTGGAGACAGGATGATAGGAGAATGAACTGGGTTTTCAGAAGACGTCGTGTCGGGTGTAGAAGGTTGACCTGTGGGAGCGAACGCAGGAGGCTTGGAATGAGCCACCTTAAAATGGTCGATTAAAACCACACCAGTGCGACTACAATGGTAGTCATTAAAATGCATGTTTGTACGCCATAAGATGCCAAAGAGTCCTTTGTAATGGCTAAATAATATCAAGGGGACGTAAAAATACAAAAGGACAACTTGAAAAGTTATAGTTAGCATGTGTGTTTCCTGCTGGAGACTGTATGGTGATGGCTCGGAGATTGAACGTAGTCTGGGAGAATGTTTGAACACAGCCAGTATTCCACATCGAATAAGAACTGACGCAGCCCACCATATCTCACGCCACGAGGATAAGTAGGCAGTTCCTAAGGAAAGTTTTGTATCCTTCGTATCACAAATGGTTCTTATGCGTGCAGTCTCGGGTTGACCTGTTTGTCTGTTTCACCAACCCAGTAAGTGCAATAAACAAGACCAGATTTCTCATTGACACCTACTGGCTCCCTAGGATGAAGGGTGGAGTTGGGTAGATAGGTAAATATGCAGAGTAATTAGGTGTAAGCGGGGAAAGAGAAATCACTGGGGACACCGCGGCAGGTGTAGAGGGATGATCTGTTTGGGGTGAGCGCAAGAGGCTCGTAATAAGCCACTTACAGGTTGTCAGCCGACCCCACCTCGCCATGAGTGAATGTGAAATGCCTGTCCGCACGCCATAGGACTTGAGATGGTCCGTCGTAGGGCCGCTGTAGCGGTCTACAAACACCATGGACAAACAACGCGGTACCAACGTTAGGGTCACTATACGACTCACTGGATGGAGAACGTGGAGGCATGGCTCGGAGCTTAGCCATCACTTGGTGCGACCTCTGAACACTGTCAGTAGTCCACGTCTGCTTTACTCTGACACGAGCCAGAATATCCCCAGGCATTCGTAAGATAATACTGAAAATAGGCTCGACTCGGAGCACTCCCAGTGTTGTTCGAGAACGGTGCAGACAAAGAGCATGTCCAATGTCAGATTCAACGAGCGGGGTTGCCCTCGGCCTGAAGCGAGGCCGGTGGTGGCACCGGTTGGATTGCCGATCGATGTTGTTTGAGAGTTTATAGGTGTTTTCTGCGCGTGCAAACAAAAGGCTTTGCACCACGGCACCTTAAAAAGCCTTCCCAGCAAACTGCTTCGGATAATTTCTGTGAACGAACAAAGAGAACTGTAGAATTGCATCCGCTTTGAGATTCAAATTAAAATATTTACTGTTTTACCTTTAAAACATGTAATACATTAAAAAACTGATAGCGCTTCCTCCTTTCACAATTAGCCAACGTGAATTTCGCGGACCTGGTGGATACAGGGAGTCGTAAATATGGGTAAACTCCGGTTATAAAAATGAGATATTAAGAACAGAGAAGAGGGGTGCATAGGGCAAACTCATACCAGCATTACGATCTGGTAGTACCGTAACTGTTTATTGTATTCACGGCTCTCTCTTTCCTCCCTTTCCCTCTCTCATTACACCTCTCCCACTCTACTGCCTCCATTTCTTTCTCTGAGTCGTTATTGCGGTCGGGACGAAATATTTGCATTTGGTGCAGTTGCCTAGATCTTCACCTAACTGTACCAACAGATGCATGAAGTGTGAAGGTAGCGTAGAACAGTCAACTATGAATACACCTAGTTAATTAATTAAGTTGGAAGAGTGGGCCCTGGAGAGAAGCAGGGAGGTGAGCGCATGAACACTTAAAACGTGATCGCCGCCAGGGTAGGCAGTTGGTCCAGTTGTCGGTGGAGTCGCAATTCCCGTCTTGCGATGCTGCAGCCGGAGAATAGCGAAATGGCATTTCACCTGACAGCCATAAATCAATGTTGTGACTTCAGGACACCCTGAGCTTCTTTCCTCAATGGCCAGAACCCAGGCGTACGCTCGCATGTACACACGTCGCGTCGAGGCTGGCAGCATCATCGGCTGATATTCCGCTTTACTGAACAGTTACCGTCACTGCCTTCTGAACCGCTGGCACTCTTCCTCGCGGCAGTAAAGACCGTTCTGCTACCTCAGTATTTTTGATATGGGATTTAGGAAACCTCTCTCTCTCTCTTGACGCATCACAATGAGGCAAGTCAAGGCAGTTCGGTCGATGTAAACTGCGCTGTCCGCTGTGTGCCCCATAGCGTGGTGCTCGACTCCATCCTCTCTTCCTCCGCCGCCCAGGCTACAGTCTGCCGATTGAGTCAGTCAGCCATCTGGTGCCGGTCTAATTGATCGATGCGGCGTGAGACTGCGCCTAGGTGTGCCGCCGCACCCCCACACCTCCTATTTGTCATGGGATGCGCAGCCCGTATAGCATGTGCCGTACCCTAATATGACGGTCCCGCGTGGTCTGTTTTTGGCGACTGAGGCAGGAATCGTAATCATTGTCATTTAAGGTGCTGGTAGCATGCAAATTCCAAGTTCCCAGCCGTCTGGTCGTTCATTGTTCCAAGAATAAAACACATACAACAGCATTTCCACAAATACTGTGTCAAAAATGACGAGGGAAACTGAACGGCATCGGTGAAGAAAGCGTGTTTTCATTTCGACCCAATCGTGAAAAACGCGGTGTCTTGGTGGGATTCCAACCCACGCAGTAGGAGGAGGGCTTTAGTACAGCCAACGTTCTAGCCACCTGGGCTACGAGGCCCCACCGGATGACGCGAGGTTAATTACATTTGGGTCAAGTTTACCCGCCCAACTTGCTGCAACGTCTGGATCAACCACATCTGATACAGTAAGTTGTGGGTTGGGCGGGTAAAGTTGACCAAAATGTGATTAAACTCGCGTCATCCAGTTAGGCCTCGTAGCTCCGATGGTTAGAGCGCTGGCTGTACTAAAGCCCTCCTCCTACTGCGTGGGTTGGAATCCCATCCAGGCATCGGGTTTTTCACAAATGGGTCAAAAAGAAGAATTTCAAATCTGCAATAATATGTTTTGTTAAGCGGAGATTTTGCAACAGAGCTTGATCATGTATTTTCCTGTTCTCATAACTACGTCCTCAACTGAATGCAACCTAATAAACACGGTGAAATTCTGCATGTATTGACAAGGTATCCGTGCTTTGTCTGACTGACTAGGAAAATCTGTTGCGCGACTTTCCTATTATGTCGCCAGAAACATTGTTATTTTTATCGTACAACTACAAGACAGCCGTTCATGGTTGAACGGGAGGTAGTGGGATACGATAAGATCACTGAACTCCACTTAGTCTGCAATCTAACCCTTATATTAACTTCTTCCTGGAAAAGGCTGGTCTCGTTTAAACAATCTAGGCATCAGATTGCGGACAGCTATTTTCCCGCCAGGGTAGTCAGTATGCGACAGTCCGATCATCATTGTCAATGATATCCACCGACGAGCCGAACCCCTCGCAGCTGCGTCAGGCAGCGGCATAAGATCGGCGAAACACCCGTGTCTGGGCTTTTAACTAATACCTGTGTTGTTAGTACGGTAAATCATTGCACAGATCTATACTACTGGCTGCCTGTTGGCAGTTTATGAATATTAAGCACTTATTCTGCAGTAGCTGATGGATTTCAGCTCAAATATTCATATCAAACTTTGGACCGCGCCTGAAAAGGTCGGTTTCGAAAGATTTGCTCCAAGTTCGCGCATTAGTTTCCTCGAAAATTAAACAGGGCAAAATGATGTCCATCGTATGGTCTACGGCATGGCGAGAACAGGGACGGTGAATTGCGCTGATTTAAAATGATAGCAGACTTGCACCGCATCTACCGCACTCCCTCCCCATCCCCTTTATCCGGATTCGGTGTCAGGACGGCGTCAAGAGGACCGGAGGCGGAATAGGGTACAGATGGCTGGTACGACGTAGAGCCGCACCTAGGTGTTCCACCACACCCCTCCTCCCCAGGTCCACAACGTAAACTGACCGGGATTTTAAAGAGAAAAGAATGGCGCCTAAGTATGCATCCACACCTTCATTTGCTCCTGAGAAGCAGGTAACATTGGTCTCCCGAGTCGGCCCCTATCCAAAAGAATAGGAGAACACCTCCCGCAATGATTGGGAAAAGATGAGAATAGGAGCATTGACGGCACCATTCTCGAACATACTGCTGCTTCCGGGGACCATGTGAACAATAAGGAAGCTTTCTGTGCGATTTATAAGGTCCCATAGAACTACCCTAATCTACTGAGCCAGCGTGTGTTACGAAAAGCAAAGCGGTCAATATCAGATTACGAAAACGGGTCTTGTGCGCGCAGAAGAACCTCATTCAGGCTCCACGCATGCCGCGGATAAAGATCAACCAACTACACTCAATTTTATATATACTTCCGAACTCCCCCCACCCTGGTACTGAACCTTTTAACCCGTCCACTTTTCCCTACCCCGCCTGCGCTCTAACACGAATCCCAATCGATTTTTCAGATCGTTAACGTGCTTTACTGGACTCCTTCCCAAATAAATGTAGTGGTCTGACGTGAATTTATCAAAATCAAACGTATGCTCGCTTACGAAAAGCTTCGTTACTATTCCCATGATCCCCAGAAGCAGCAATATGTGCCAGAATGGCACTGTTAATGCCCCTATTCTCCCCTTTTTCCAACCATGCCGGGAGGTGTTATCTTATTCTCTTGGATAGGCGCCGACTCGTGCGACCAATATAACCCGCTTCACAGGAACAAACGAAGGATTGGATGCACACTGAGGCGAAACTAGGAGCATTAACTGCGTCATTTTCGCATACATTGCTGGCTCTTGGCATCGTGTGAACCACAACGAAGCTTTTCGTGTGATTTATAAAGTACTATCGAACTACTCTAAACTGTTAGCAGCGACGAAGTGCTCAATATCTGATTACGAAAACTGGTCTTGTGTGCGCAGAAGAACCTCGTTCAGACTCGGTATAGCGGAATGTAGTCCTAATAGGCTCACCCCGAAACTCAAAATTAGTATATGAGCTGCATGTTCGTCTGCAACGAATATTACGCCGTTATCCCCTCTGAAGCTGATGGATTTCTGCATATCTATGCATTCCAAATTTCCGACTGAGACTACGACAGTTCGACCATCGATTTTGATTATGTCCACCGTGTGCCCCACAGACTGCATTGTGGGAGCAGGGACGGTGACTTGCGCAGAGGTTTTTAGTGCGGGTAGACTTGCGCTGCATCTACCTACACTCTCTCCTCCTCCACGGCCTGGGCCCGGTGTCAAGACAGAGTCAAAAAGACCGGAGACGGGGGAGGCTGCAGGTGGATGTCTCAGACGGATCCACGCCTTGGCGCTCCACTCCGCACCCCCTGGTCCACACACAAATGACCAGGATTTTGACCACAAAACAATGGGGTGGCGGAAGTGGTCCAGTTGAGCGACGAATGCCGACAACAGGATCCGCCAACGCACCCCGCATATGTTGGCATTTGTTATTGAGCACAGATAACGCCTGCCAGAGTCCGATGTGGCCCCCGTGTTGGTCCAGCGAATCTATCACGTGGCCCGTTTCGAGGGCACGACTGAGACTACAGATAATCAGATAAAAGTGTTAAGACATGCGTGTACTCTGATTAGTTACTTCCTAATTTGGAAGACTACTTGGCGAGCATACGTATGCCTTCCATAAGTTCTTGTCAGGCCAATAAATTCATATGGGAACGGGGTTCAGTGAAACATGTCAGTGATTCGAGAAATGGGTCTGAAAGCGTGTGCTACGTCAGTATCAGCAAGCCACGGCAATCGTAGTCCGGCATGCACTGGCAGTTCCCTGACACCTGGTATCTTGCCGATAGATGCGCTTGCGCTCCCGCCGGGCATACATGTGGTGGGCATTGCTGCCCAGTCATCC